AGATAGAAGTGGACAAACATTCATTTACTGAATCAGTAATTTGCTCAATAGGCTTATCTCGATTTTTTTTGGTAATTATTTTTACTTGTCTGACATCACAATCATTTAAGGCTGAAGGTCTTCCACTTCCTGGAGCAATAGTAGTTTGACCTTCTCCTTTAAATGCTTGTATTGCATGAGTTATTTGTGACTGAGAATGATGGAGTGCACTGGCAATGTTACAAGTGCTTTCACCTGCTTCCCAATGCCCAATTATTCTTCCTTGTTCAAAGTCTGTTAATTGAGACATGATGTTTTAATTGAAATAACAAATTGAAAATTCAATCTTTTTTTTTTAAAAAAAAATCTAGTTTTGGTTAGATATTTCAACCGCAATTGCCCTTTAAAGTTTGTTCACGCATAATGATAATCATCTTGCATAAAAAATTATTTACGATTTTTTTTGTGTTTTGTATTAATTCTCTATGAATATTCTGCAAATAATTATGAACATTTATATTTATATATTTGAAAACAAATGGAACAACATTTTCTAAGTTCCCAAGATGCGTTAAAACATTGTATCTTAAAATAGCTCTAAGTGCAACTTTTTTGAAAAATTTTTGAAAAATTTTAATTTGACTTTTAAACATCATAAAATTATCAATAACGATTGGTCCGATGTGGTATTTTAGAATATTATAGGAATCATTTTGTTAAACATTTTCTCACTAATACACAACATCGATTTGCTTAGTAAAAAAATGAGTATTTGTATTACCCATTTACCCGATTATTTTTGCGGATCATCAAGTGAGTCGATACTTTTTTTAGGGGAGTGTATATGTTAAATTAAAATTTGAAATTCGTGCACATTATGTTTTTTTGTCAATTTTATAATAAACCTGAACTTCGTTGTTAAAGTAAAATGAAAGTACTCCATTAAAGTTTTCTAATGAATACCTTTCATACTGAAAAGTACATAAATTCATGGCTATTCAAAAACGGTATTAATTTTTCATTTCAAACCTCTGATTATTTTTTAATATTGCTTTAAAAGACTTGATAGAGAAGATGTAGAATACTTTAAACTTTCATATGGTTATTACTTTATGGGACGTTGGTTAATAAGTTTTAGAAAGGTTCATGAAAAACCATTTTATAGAAATTTAATAGTCATGACCTCTTATTAATTTTTATTATTTATTTTATTTAGAAGGAAACATTTTTTAAAAAAAAGAGAAAAAGAGATAAAATTCATTAATCGATTTGATTGGTTACATTTGTAATATCAATCAGTAGTTGTTATAACAACAAACATAATATTAGTAGCAAACGATGACAACGAATTATCATTTCTTGAGGATATTTAGATCCAGTTTGTGTAGTAGTGATCGAAGTAAGTGTTAGGGATAAGATCTATGAAGCTTGCAAAATGTACTAACGAGTGTTTCATCAATTATTCAATAGTTTGTATAAGATCTATGAAACTTGCAAAATATATTAACGAACGTTTTATCAATTATTCAATATTTTGTATAGGAGTGATCGAAGTGATCGAAGTAAGTGTTAAGAACAAGATTTATGAACAAAATATACTAACAAACGTTTTATCAATTATTCAATATTTTGTATAGGAGTGATCTAAGTAAACGTTAAGAACAAGATCTTGAACAAAATATGCTAACGAACGTTTTATCAATTATTTAATAGTTTGTATAGGAGTGATTGAAATAAGTGTTAAGAACAAGATCTATGAACAAAATATATTAATGAACGTTTTATCAATTATTCAATAGTTGTATAGGAGTGATCGAAATAAGTGGTGTTAAGAACAAGATTTATGGGGCTTGCACTAACGAAAGTTTCAATAGTTTGTGTAGGGGTGATCGAAGTAAGTGTTAAGAACAAGATCTATGAACAAATTATACTAACGAACGTTTTATCAATTATTCAATAGTTTGTATAGGAGTGATTGAAATAAGTGTTAAGAACAAGATCTATGAACAAAATATATTAACGAACGTTTTATCAATTATTCAATAGTTTGTGTAGGAGTGATCTAAGTAAGTGTTAAGAACAAGATCTATGAACAAAATATATTAACTAACGTTTTATCAATTATTCAATAGTTTGTGTAGGAGTGATCTAAGTAAGTGTTAAGAACAAGATCTATGAAAAAAATTTATTAACTAACGTTTTATCAATTATTCAATAGTTTGTGTAGGAGTGATCGAACGTTTTATCAATTATTCAATATTTTGTATAGGAGTGATCTAAGTAAGTGTTAAGAACAAGATCTATGAACAAAATATACTAACGAACGTTTTATCAATTATTCAATAGTTTGTGTAGGAGTGATCTAAGTAAGTGTTAAGAACAAGATCTATGAAC